CATTTCAGTGCAAGAGGTTAAATATAACGACAAACGAGGGTTTACCATGAAACCATTTAATATTTTCAGACGCATATTTTTACGACTTTATTTTTCTATCTAACGAATGATACAAATTTGAAGTGGGGGAAAAAAAAAAAAACAAACTCAGAACTGTCGAAGTAGAGACGAGATCTGCGATTCTCTTTAAAAAAAAAAAAACAATCATTGACAATTTTTCATCGTCACTCTCCAATCGTATCGTACAAATCGTCAATTCGAATGGCCAAAAAGTTTCAAGAGAACCGACTTTCAACATCAGATTAAAAATCCCCCGGCCCGTGTTTCATCCGCTGAACCGTCTTTCGCGGTACGAAGGCGAGTAGCCCCGCTAAAAACGAAGGAATTCTCTCTTCGCCGTTCGAGCGGATCTCGCGTAATTGCCAGCTCTTGTGTGTCGCGAGATCCCGAGACGAGACGGGGACTCGGAGACGGCAGAAGGAAGTTGGCAGTTGTCGTGGCATGGCTCGGTTTCGACGGGCCGCGCGCACAATTCGTCTAATTCGCCGGCGATTTCGTCCGGACTGAGAGGAATGGAACGAAGAAGAGGAGGGGCCAGAAGAGGTAGGAAGAAAAGAAGAAATCCGGGCTGCACCGAGGGGAAGAAAAACATCGATAAAAGCCGAGCTTGGCACACTCGTCACACTATGTCAGAAGAGAGCCCCCGGAGGATCCGGGCCCCAGGCCCTTCTCCAATCCATTGGCGTACGAGCGTCCTTTTTCCAACTTTTTCCCCTCTTGATTCCGCCACTCTCCTCTCGTAGCTCTTTTTACTAGTAAATATCTGCTTTTTACTAGTAAATATCTGCTTCTCGCTGTGCCAGAAAGTTTCCACAAGCTTGTGAGAAACAATGGCGTTCACAACTCGAACGATACTCGAGCAATTGTTAGGCTCGAGACGAGGAGACGATGAAGGATAGAAAAGTTTCTTATTGCTATTCTCATCTGGCCTTGATAAGAGACAACAAACGCGAATCCCAATCTTCACAATCGACTCTTTGGGGTTAGAATAGGTTTAAAATTGTATTATATTTATTTATTTATTTTTTTTAAACAGTTAATAGTGGGATATTTTTTAATCTACGTAAAGGTATGTTTCAACGAATTTCATTTAAAAACGTTATTTATTTATGCCCCACTGTGTAAGAAAGAATTTATTTAAATATTACCTTTTTTTTTACATTTTAGGGAGTATGTTCAATAATTGAAATAAACGGTTTTTATATTATTATTAAAAAAAAATTCCTTGCAGGTATTTTTTTTTCTTTTTAAAATTGAGTGTCCCTATAGTTAATCGCAAGCAAGAGAGGAAAATTCCAAACAAAATGGTTTTCTTTGCCGAATCGCTCGGTTTTTCCCATTCGAAGGCGTGGTGGTTGTTGAGGAAAACCTCGCGAGCGATTAACAATATGATAGCCCGCACGACGAGGAACAATGGTAACAATTAGAGATTTACGACTTCCTGCGCCGGTGGAGGTTCGTTCGGTTCCTACGGATTAACGGAACTCCCACGCGGGAGGTGGGTACGTATGCGCTGTCTTTCGAGGCGAGTTCATCAAGTCGTGCCGACTCCGCGAGATATTACACACCCCTGGGTGCCAATAGGCTGTCAATGGAATATCAATAAAGCGAAGAGGAGACGCGCTCGTTATGCGTGGCGCCGTGCCGGGTGATTGTGAGTACGAGCCTCTCGACGTAACCTCGACATCGCCACCGGTATGAAATAACAGGCAATCGAGGCCCCGCGTTTTATAAATAAAAAAGCTCGTTTCTTTCGTTTTCTTCGTCGGGGTCGGCGCGCGAATGACGGATGTTGTTGTCCGTCGAAGACGAATGACTTAGAGATTTCAATGACTTAAAGCGATTCGAAGATTCAAACACTAAGAGATTTAAATATTTAAAAACTCAAATATTCAAGGAGCCAAGAATTCGAAAGCTCTAAGATTCGGAAAATTCAAAAGTTCGAAGATCTAAAAATTGAAAAGGTCGAAAGAGTTCAAAGATCAAAAAATTTTCAGATTCAGATACTCACGGATTTAAAAGTTTGAAAATTTAAGTATTCAAAGGCTCAAGAATTCAGATATTCGAAAGTTCAAAAGTTAAAAAAAATTGAAAAGCTCAAAGATCCACATCAAGCATTTTCCTTCAATCATTCACAACTTACAAAACCCATAAGTAATGTCGTTTTCTGATACTGTACAAAATTTTATTTTATTTAAGAGTTAATATCTGTAATATAATTTAGTTTTTAATCTGTAATATAATTTATCTAAATGTCAATATATTTAGCTGGAATATAGGTTACGTTACGATAAGTCAAAGTTATTGTCGCTAGATGGCAATATTTGTTAAATTTTGAGAAAACGACAGTACCCCTAATGAAATATAGATTCGTGTGACATTTTTTTTGCCTATTTTATTTTATTTCATTTTATTATACTTATAGATTCATTTATGAATCACCCTGTATATGGAAATGTATCAATAGTAGAATATTTCAACAGATTTCAACTCGAGCTTGGTCGAAGGAATCCAGTTCGCGGTGCTTGCGCGACAGATGATCCAGAAACGTTTCGCAAACTTGCGAAACGCCGCTGAAGAAAATCGTCTGGAGGAGGAGTTGCAAACAACGGAAGCACAAATGCGTGAACAGAGGTCTGCCAGATGACTAAAGTAGAAGAACAGAGCGCGAAACTAGTGGCGGCGCGAGTTCATTTAAAACAGCGGCGACGCTGATTTAAAATGAAAAAAGAAGAAAACAAGATGGCAGAAAATATTTTGCATTCGCAGTTGTTAATGATCGGTCAAAGCAAACGGTCAAATCTTTTTATATTAAATTATTATACAATTAATTAAATTAAATTATATAGTTAATTATATTAAATTATTAAACAGTTAATTGTTATAATTTCTTGTTAAATCTCTAATAATAATTTCTCTAATATGTTAGTAACAATAAATATATTAATAATAATGTATGTTTGTTAATATATTTATTATATATTTATAATAAAATATGTTTATTATAAATAATATTAATATATTTATTACATATTTATATTACAATATGTTTATTAATATTTTAATATATTTATTACATACTTATATTACAATATGTTTATTAACATATTAATATATTTATTAATATATAATAAACAACATATTTATCTAATATATTATTTAGATGAAATCTCTAATAATATATTTACTTAAAAGAGCAAATGACGGTTAATGACACGTCAGACGGTCTGTCTAAGAGGAGGAGGTGGAAGACGTTCAATTCACCTCTTCGCGACAATGCACGTGAAAAGAACCTGAGGACGCACCCTCCGGCCGCCGCAAACGACTTCCCATTAATTTTTAACGAAGACTAATAATTTTTAATAAAGCGTAATAGCGGTAATAAATATTAATTGCTGTCCCCAATTGCCGGTACATTCGGAAACGTGTCGACGACGACGACGACGCAACAACGCGACCGATCGCTAGCATCCCCCCGAAGATGGAATTTTCAGTGGCGACGAAGAAAACCGAGAGAGGCAAGGGAAAAACAGAAACAGGGAACAGATTCCCCCGAGCATTTCTACGAACGCAGTTCTACGCTGTCGTTCTTCGTTTTCACGGCAGCGTCGCGTAACGGGTGTGGTTAATAACTGCAAATATATGCGTCACGTAATTACGCATGCAAAAACGTGGTTGGGAAAGAGAAGCAATGTTACGTCGTACGTAACGTTGGATTATCTTCGAGACTCTCGTGTGTCTCTTGCCGAACAGTGGCTACACTGTCCAACAACATTGTTTTTGTACCGACTTTATTATTGTCTCTCTTTCATTTTGCTAAAATCGTCTTCACTCGGACAAGCGTTGAATGAAATCGAATTGAAAGAAATTCGACAACACGTGTTTCTTTCGAGAGATTTCAGGTAAACGAAGTTTGAAGAGCGCTTGCCAAATTCATGGTATCGACGAATCGAGGAATCATGGATCTTCACGGGGAGGTGAATTTAATGGAAACGGTGTTTGCAGTCGGCGCGCGCGGCAATCAAGATTTTTCTGAAGACGACGCGAATTTCAAATGAGATTCACTCTCGGATGAAACGAGCTTCGCCTTGGGAGAAGAAACGAGGAATCTTACCGGATGGACCGGAAATTGTGCGCGTGTCGCGTCGCGTCGATTAATTGCAAATACGCGCGTCGGTGCGAGAATGCCGCTGGAAAAAGTGCTATAGTCGTATAATAGAATTGCTAATACACTAGAAACGAGGCTGCAATATATCTGGGCCAGCGATATATTCCGACTGTGCAACGTTGTCATTTATCGTCCATTTAGAAACTTTTCTTGCAACTAATGTCTCTAGATAGACAGATTTTCCGTCGTTACAGCCATTGTACAAGGTGGAAAGAAAAGTTTGTGTGTGGCTATCGTAGAACAACCTTGAACGTAAAGGTTAAAAATTTTTGTTTTATACCTTTCAGTGACCACCCTATATTAAGCGTTTGATTTCTAAAGAACCTAAGTTCTCTTGAAAAATGGCAAAAAAGTTTCTTAATCACTTAACTTTGCGGACGCGTGCGTCCTAACAGCGACTTTACGATTCTGGATTACTAACTAACTAACATTTGATTTGTCATAGTTGCAGCATCAGCGTAAGTCTAAATAATCAAATAACAAAACTAATTGTTAACATTATTGAAATCATAAACATTCACACGTCCACAAAGTCGCTGTTTCAACCTTTTTTATTTTCTTTTTTTATAGGTTACAGAGCATCCCTTGGAGATTAAAATGGCTACGTATGACTTCCAGCAACGAGTAAAACTCACTGAGTTTAATAATGAAAAATTAAAAAAAACACGAGTCTGTAAAAATTATTTTTGTTTTATATTTTTGAGTGGCTACCCTATAGTAAGTGTTTGATTTCCAAGGAATCTAATAGTTCTCTTGAAAAATGGCAAAAAAGTTAATGCTGCAAACGCGTGAGTCCTAACAACGACTTTACGATTCTGGACGCGTAGATGTCTATTTTACCTAATTTTCGCATCAGATTTCGCTAAAATTCGATTTATCATAGTTGTAGCATCAGCATGAGTCTAATATCAAATTATAAAACTAACTATATTGGAAATACATCCACGCGTTCAGAATCATAAGGTCGCTGTTAGAACCCACGCGTCCGCAGTGTTGAATGATTTTCTTTCCATTCTGTACATTGTTAACTCTTGATATACAGGGTGCCCCTAGTTTTTCCGGCGTAACTTTGCCAGTGGCTGAGAAACAGGGAAAAAATCTTTTCCGAGCGAAAGTAAAGAAAACAATGTCGCGTAAACATGTACTTAAAAATTCTTAGGAAAATTTGAGAAAAATTATTCTAAAAGTATAATACACCTTGTGCATTTCTAACAAAACAGGGAGAGGTTTGTAAAAGAGGAAGAGAGAGAATGCAGGAAAATTTTCCGACGTCGCCGTGCTCGGCGATATTTTACAAAAGTTTGCGACATCGAGGAAACGACGTTTCGCGATTTACGAGCGAGTCCAAGGTGAAAAGTCCGAGTGACAGTAGAGAGCAACGAAGATTCTTCACGAAGAATAGTGGAAGTGCTTTTCACGGGGGGAGGAGGAGGGAGGTGGTACGGCCTCCTAAAGGCCGAAGGATCGATTATTCCAACTCGCGTTGTAAAAGCCTAGGGTCAACCGAGGCTGTAAATTTCGTGTCGTCTGCGAAAGCACAGAAAAAAAGAGAAAAGACCGAACGATGCACCCGGGGGACACCTCCTTATTATGTTTTACCTCATTTTTCGTATTTCGTTGGAACATCGACGGCAATTTGTATAATTTTTTACTCTCGAGATTCCCGCGCGCAATAATTTGCCAAACAATGATATCAGAGTTGCGAGAGATTGCAAGTGATCGTTGTAAACGATCATTTACAGTTAGTATTTGGATAGTATTTACGTAAAGAGTTGCTCAAATGAAATTATTTAGAAAAAAAAAAAAAAAAAAAAAAAATGGAAGTCGATCAAACATTTGATATGAAACCACTTTATATGTTTATATAGTTTTATCAACAGGTTACGTAAGGATCGTTCGAAATTATTGGATCGACGAGAACGCCGTGTGCGACGCATTCGACTAGAAAGTCTTGGTATTTAGTACCTGTTGCCCGGCTTCCGGCGAAAAGCATCCGCTGGAATTTTCATTACGAGTGAAGAAAGAAAAAAAAAAAAAAGAATCAATGGTGAAATACCGAGCGATACGAATGATATAATTAGTCATTTTCCCACATAGATAGCCACTAGATATTTCTTCGTGACGGCCAATTGCTGGAGAACGATCTTTTTGTAAATAGATTAGATAACGTTTTAATTTGCCACGACGATTCTCCGCCGTTAACGACAAGAAAATAGAAAAATAGACACCGAGCCGTATTTACGTTGGGCTTAAGATAGAAACTTCCGTTAGATAGAAGTGCTAGATAGACAGGAGTCGTTAGATCTGGCCTGCATCGCGAGAAAAAGAACTTTCCCGGAGTGATTCACTCAAAACTGCACACAGAATGTTACGACAAAATGGGTGAAAGTCTTTCAGAATATTCCGCTATGCTTGCTATCGGTTGAAAATTTTTTTTCCTCCTTATACAAGGTGTTCCGAGGTTTCAAACTTTGCCAGCGTGTTCAACGACTTCCTAATAGTTGCTTCATTAAAAAGTTACGTGACAACAATAATATAACAACAACAATGTGAGTTGTAACAATAATACAAGTGTTGCTTCGTCAATCGAAGTAGCATTGAATTTTTACTGTGGACCGAGTTTCGCATCAACTATGTCGAATTTCTTCACACGCGGTTTTGATCCTTGCGAGCAAATCGTTTTCGTGTAAACTGCACTTCAATGGAGTACATTTTGCGTAATGAATATTTTTCGCATAAGTAGAAATCTGACGATGCAGCTAGAAAAATTGGTTCTTCTCGGCTAGATCTCCGTCGTCAAAACAATTCGTATCGATTGTGTTCGTCATGCTTTGTATTTCTGTTACAACCTTTTAACGAAGTTTATGGTCGTTTATGGTCGTTTCACTACGTGGAATTTTTTAGTTTTATCCAGTAGAATAACGCTAAACACCCTGTATAAGCGTAAAATAAACTGGCAACTGATTGCGGACCATAACGAGTGACCAAATCGTATACAATAATTCTTTGCTTTTGAACTCATCAGTATTGATATCATTGGATAGAAATTATTGCGAGGTAATAAATTTATTATTCGCATTGCCCATTTTGTTTCACGTAAATATACTTAAAACTGAGAAAATATTGCAATTTTGGGACGAAAAAATTCTCGACGTCATTCCAGCGCAAGAGGTTAAGAAAGATTGAGCAACGTCGAATTCTCCGTTCATTCTTTTAAACAATCTACACTCTCGTGAAAGAAGTTTACTCAACGCGTAACTTGATAATCACTCGATTGTTCGACCATCGTGTATCAAAAATTAAGAAAAAAAAAAAAAAAAAGCTTAAATATAGCGTTTCTTCTTTAACAAGTATATACTTTATATCTAGAACGGAATACGTAATTACGCGAGTTCACGTGGCCGAGAGATGTCAGATAAAAAGAAAACGAAAAAAAAAAAAAAAGAAAAAGAAAGGTCGACGCGATCTTCGTACTCCAAAGTTCAACGAAATTTAGAAACCAGCCGGGTCCAATTTTCAACGAGTGAGCGTTTCCCGTTAAATAATGTATGCTTCATGCTCACCCACTAAACTAAGCGACCGTTTCGAGCCACATCGATTTATTTGGGTTTCTAGAGTTGCCCCCAATTACCGATCACCCGGCATCGTCGTCGTTTCATTTAGAATTCCTGGCCTCTTGCTTCCCGACGGACGGCCATTTGGAAACTGGTTCACCAAATGAAGGCCAAACGATCGGTTTAGAGATCGTTCTATACGATTCGATCGAAATTCGCGCGTAACGAGAGGCGTATTCCTACACGCACGCACGTACATACATACATACATACGTACGTACATACATACAAGGCGTCAATAACTATAAATGGCGACGTGGAAGTGGACAACGGGGAAGAAAGATCGCGGTCGCTCGATCGCGTCGTCGACCGGTCGCGGCGGGTGACGAACGATCGACCTGGCCTGAGCAGTAGCCATCAGTCGATGACAGAAACGGAAACGCGGGGAAAAGACAAAGCGAAGAGAACGAAGGTTGGACGAAGGTGTACGCGCCGGGAATGTCGGATACTGGTCGCATACAGCAAAAATCACCGCCCGATCGAGTAAGATCCCCTCGTTTCCTAGGAACGCGCTTCTTTCCTACCATATATACCATATGACCCCCTTGCGTCTGTCTGTCGATCCAGCAGTGACTCGTTACGTCGAAAATTTTGTTTCTTCGCACGATAGATTTACCCTGTTTAGATTAGGTCTTCGTGAATCGTGCTCACGACACAGTGCATGTTTTTTTTTATCATTTTTTTGTTTTTGTTGTACCCTAAACGCAAATATTATTATTATTAATTTTATTATTACTATTACTAGTAATTAGATTAATTAGAATTTATTATGATATGCTATATTAATATAATTAATAGTAGTAGTGATAATTTTATTATAAGTTATTTTATTATTACATTAATATTATTATCATTTTATTATTAATAATATTATATTATTATTTTATTATTAATACTATTATATATTATTATTATTATTATTTTTCTGCTTATGTACTCTAAATGTAGAAAATACGCAGGTTCGTAGCGCGTCGAACAACGAGATGTAAATCGGTTTGTATCGGCGAGATCATTGTGATCATCGTGCCAACGCTAGAATTACCACCATAAAGTTTCACTTAACTTCTTTGCTACAAATATTAACTTTAATCGTCAGTGGTTCTAGCGTTAAATAAACCTCGATTACTTTTATTTTTCAATTTACTCCTTTGCAACGCTAAATTAGAAATTTAGATTCTGATCTTTGATCTCATCTCGAGGTCTCTATACAAACGATTCCAACAAAATTAAACATCGAAACTTCGTTGTTTTAATTTCTCCCCCTGAGTGTCAATTTAAATGCATATTCGCCTCTTTTAGTGTCACGATAACTAGAGTTGCTAAGCTACAGATACATACTTAATTCGACGAAGATCGAATCTTGTAAATCTAGCAACGAAAAATCACGAGATTAAGCGTGCAAATATAGCCGACGCGGTCTGGCTCGGATATTAATCGATTCACGATGTACTTGAAGATCGTATCGCAATTACGCGTTGATTAACGGCAGGCCAAGATCAAATGAGCCGGCTCGATTTGCTCGTAATTTGTATCACGGCATGTGTACACAGCATGTACTGTAATGCTTGTCGATGGGCCTTGAACAACCCAGTATCCTAACCTAGAATATCCTTTTTATCGTCCGTCCTGCTCCAGCGATAATTCAGCGCGCTTAATTTACCACGCTTCATACGGTGAAACGATATAATTATTGTTAGTTATCGTATAATTTTGTTTCAAACAGAACGTAATTCACAATTACGTGGAATTACAATCCGCGAAATTACCATCACCTGTTCAACCTCTGAAGAGTTTGAGACTTCTCTTTTATCTGATTTCTGGTTCAATGCAAACTCATCTGTGTGGGAAGTGTCACGAGCTTGAAAACCGACGATGACGCTCACGGTAGTTTTTATAAAAGAGAACGAAACTGCGATCAGACAACTCGTGGACAGAGCGGTCTTATTTCTTACATAGGCAGAAGTCGTCAGACAAACTAGCAGACAAACGACTCCATTTCGACTGCTTCTGTCTTTCGAGCGTTGGAGGATCGCCTTTTCGCGCGCGTCGATCCGCGTTTCGCCCGATCGAGACGCCAATCGATCACCGGCCAAGAACGTTGTTGACAGAACACGTAACAATTTTTCCCCGGTTGACTGCACTTGTTCGCACGAAAATCGAGCCCACGATTCCGGCGATCTTCGATCGTTCACTCTCGAGCAAACAAACACACAAACGGGCGTTTATTTACGCGCACGAAACGCGTGCAACGTACACACACGCACAGAGAGAGAAAGAGAGAGACAAACGACACGCGAGGCATCGCGTCTCGACAGAAACTGAATGTAAACTGACTGGCGATCCACGCCACGGTGATCCAAGATGCCCGTAAGTGGCCGCTTTGCGTCTGATTGGCCGAGACCGCCGATCTTCCCTACTAAACAGCCATTCAGACGCGCGGACGCTTCCGTCCCGAGGAGCGACGCGGGCCGTTTGAAATTCTTCTCGCTTTTGGCCGATTTCGACGTAAATAGCGGAAATAACAATGTAAAATTTGGAGTTACGTTTAATACGATATCATCTAAGTTTCTTTATTTCAAGATAGAAGATATAGTCGGCGATGATGACAATGAAAAGTGAAAGATGTCGATCATTTGAATTGAAAAGTTATATACAACCTTGAAAAATAGTAAGTTATATATAACTTAATAAAAATGATAAGTTATTAGACATATAACCTATTGATATAACCTTGTAAAAAGATTGTACGACTCGAGCATTTATTTGAAATATAAATCCCACAACGAACTTTGACGTTGTAGAGAGAAAATTTCAATCTTCAAGACCACGATAAAAAGAAACATTTTAATAGTTTCACACGCGTTTGAATTTTTATGATTTTCGGGAGAAAAACAACATGATGTAAAGTCATCTTAAAAAAAAAAAAAAAAGAAAAAAACAAACTTATGGCCATGAAAGTAAAAGCTCTACGCTTTAAAATGAGATCAAGTGGATAGTATGATATTTTTTTTTTTACAAATTTAAATTACCGACAATCTCTCATTATCGTTTCCTACAGCTACGCTCTTCACTGTAATTCTAAATGTAGAATTTATGCATTTTATATCCAAAGTTCCCCCCCCCCCCAAATATAGATGAATATAAATATAAATTTCTGGCAATGTATCAAAGAAACTTTAAAACACAATTATTTCACGTTATTCGTCATTTCTCGCGCAACACGCGAAATCCATTTAACAAACATAATATGGTAATGGATTTTGCTAATGTATATAACCTGTTGCGAGGATGATATATGGGGTTCGTTCGACGGAGAAAATTGTACCAACAGGTTTGGTTGGATCTGGTTCGTTCAAGTAAGTCCGTGGCTACGAACTAGTAACTTGTCTCGTCCGATTAATTACGATTGATCATTTGCACCAATTCGTCTCGTGTACGATAAGAAACGCAGTGTCGAGGCGTTTTGTTTCGGAATAGGACATCACTTGGAACAACTGCACGTATGTATATATTACTATGATATATCAGTTTAACGTAGACGGATGCAGAAATGACAAAATACGATAGTCGAAGCTCGTAGCAGCAGTGAGTATAATTAATACACGCCGCTAAACGGTAAACGATGTACGTATGTAACGTGTACTCACATTTGTCGACAGCTGGCTGGTCAACGAGTGAACCTTCTCCTGAGCGTCCACCAGTTCTCGTCGTAGCTTTCTCAGCTCGTGCGCCTGTTTCTCCTCGGCTGAACTGTATAGACTGCTTGCTGTCGATACCAAAGATACAGAAGAACCATGGACTGAAGGCAAAAGAAGAGAAACTTCTTCCTTTTCCATTTACTTCCGATGAAAGGAAATCGCGCGGGAAACTTTGCCGTCAAATGAAAATTTTCTAAACGCCGCGACATTCTTATTAAATCTAAACTACTTGTTAATTCGTCGAATTCACTTATTATCAATTTTAAAATTAACAATAAAATTTTCATTTTCGTGACGTTTTTCTAAACTTTGAAATTTATTTGTTAACTCGCCAAATTCAATTACTATCAATTTCGTAGAATTTTCATTTTCGTGACGTTTTTCTAAACTCTGAAATTTATTTGTTAACTCGTCAAATTCATTTACTATCAATTTTGTAGAATTTTCATTTTCGTGACGTTTTTCTAAACTCTGAAATTTATTTGTTAACTCGCCAAATTCAATTATTACCAATTTTGTAGAATTTTCATTTTCGTGACGTTTTTCTAAACTCTGAAATTTATTTGTTAACTCGTCAAACTCATTTACCATCAATTTTGTAGAATTTTCATTTTCGTGACGTTTTTCTAAACTCTGAAATTTATTTGTTAATTCGTTAAATTCGTAATCTATCATCGAGTTAGTAAAATTTTCATTTTCACGCTTTTCCGTGACGTTCCTCCAGACTCTAAAATTTATTCGTTAATTCGTCAAATTCATCTGTTATCAATTTTACAAAATTTTCACCTCCGAGCACTTCACTTTAAAGTTTACCAGTTAATTTATCCAAGTGCTTATTTATTACCAATTTTGTAAAATTTCCATTTCCACACGTTACCGCCATATTCCACTAAATTTTCCACAAAAACAAAACTTTCATTTCCACGACTCTAAAGTTTACTCAGCTCCAAAGTTGACTCGTCGTGTTTATTTATTTATTATTAATTCGTCGACAAAACGTTACGTAACAGAGCCGAGCCGTATCGTCGGCGAGTTGGCGAAGAACTATATTTAGAAAAACAACGATATCTTTAAACGGAAACTTACTATCGTCGTCCTTATGCACGTGCTGGTAAAGATTGGGCGGTTGTCGAGATGTGTGCGTGGGTGTCGGGGACGTCGGCTGCGACCAGTGTTGTCCCGCGCACCCGGCAGATCCTACGGGAACACTGTAATACGGTTCAACGCCTACGCCCATTCCGATCCCGACTCCGACTTCCTCGCCGACGGAAGACGAGGCCCCGCTTCCTCTAGCTAACATTGACGGATACATTTTTTCGCTTTTCGTGGATCTGCGAAAACACAGGTTTAACCATCTGAATCGCTTTTGGATGGAAATCGGCCTCGTGACTGCGTGTCGTGAACGTCTCCGAAGCGCTTGCAAACAGTTTCAGATTCCATCGAAATTATTGCCAAATTATTACGATACATTCAATACTATTCATTCAACATTGTATTTACTGTTGCAACTGTTTGCAGCTTCGAAGGACGAGAAGCGCGCAACGTGCGTCGATCGATGTCTAAACACCGATGCTGAGAAAAAAGAGAAGACGTTCGTAACATGTAATTGACAAAGTCTCGTTCCCGCCGCGGAAAGTACCTAACAGAAGGCACAAAGTCGCTCGGTAGCTTACTTTTACGGTTGGTTGCATTTTCAGAAATTAAGAATCGTCCCTGCCGGACGAGCGTACGCGTATCCTCGACTTTCGTTCGACGAGCGAAATTCCGCAGCAGAGAATCGGATCAATCGGCTCGCAGGACTCGAGTGTCCTTCGCATCTGACGCTCGGTTTACTTAGGACGAACACGGCCGAAACACGGAAACACTGTCTGTCTATCCGAGCGAGTGTATACGTAATTAGCCGATCTAGAAGAGGGTTCCTAATTAAAAGATAAATCCACTTTCGTCGAGCACCGCTTCTCGATCGTGTATACACTCGTCAAAGTTTCCGTAACGAGGAGCGCAGCGGAAAAGGAAACGAATGTGAATTTGAAATTCTTCGGCGAATTTTGTACGTTTCCTTTTCGCCGCGCAGCCGCACGGAACGCTCGTAAATAAGCTTCGGTCCTCGACTGGCGCGGCGTGAATCAAGCCTCAGTCATCCTCAGTGCGAATCAAATGAAAGGCAAATGAGTGATTGCAAGTGCGAAGGAGAGAAATGGAAGGAATTGATTCGTACCACGCCAATTAAGGGGTAACATGCGTTTGAATAAGAGGCACATATCAATCACAAACACGAAATACGAAAAAAAGAAAAAAAAAAAAAAAAAAAAAAAAAAAAAAAAAAAAAATGCGACTTGAAGCTTAACAAAGTACTTAAATGATACCAAGTGTAAAATTCGACAGAAGTAAATGCACATGGATACGTGTGCGTGTGTATGTGTGTGTATGTGTGTATGTGTTTCTCTTTTTGGTGCATATAAATGGCACACGTGTGTACGTGTAGGGTAAGTAAAAACCCCGGAAGGTTTTCGTTCTTTCAATACTTATGCATGGAAAACAGGCCCGACGAATGTGTATTCTAGATTTTCGCACTACCTTGGGAATGTCCTGTCCCGCAGATGGCTAGAACGGTATCAAATGATCTGCGTTATTTCACCGTAAACGAGCAGTCGCTGTCATAGAGTGGTTAAATTAGAAAGTGAGGAAAGAAGAAGAAGAAGAAGAAGAAGAGAAGAAGTCGGGAGGAGAAGCTGAAAAACTTGATCGATTTGAAGAAAAGAACGTGGTGAAAAAGATTTGCATCCTCTAGTCTCATGCATCTATACATATGGACGTTGTATTATGCGAATGAACTTCTAGAAATGTTTGACCGTGAAAACTAACGCAACGAATAGTGAGTATGGATATTGTGAATCTACCTGATGGAGTTGCTTCTGTTGAGCCTCGGCGGCGCTGGAGATCCCGTGGAGTCTCGCTGATGTATCAACAAACGAGCGTGCGTTAAACTCGCCCGATGCGATCCCAACGACTCCACGCTGTCGGCTTCGCACAGTCCCATTCCTGAAATTAGGGAGATTTGCCGCTTGAAAATACAGCGAAGAGCATAACTGTACCAATGTCAATGAAAAATTGCCTGTATTTTATCCCTTATATAACTTTGGAATAAAAAAGCCGTGTGGCAATCCAGTTGGCTCCAATTTGACAGCATTGGGTTAGTTTCCTTCAAAGGGGAATCACGTAGCAAATGGAAGAACAAGGATAATTTTGTTCTCGAAAATTGTAAAATTCAAATGCCTCTGAAAACATTAAAAAAAATTTTTGTGAATGACTGATTCTACCACGGCCTCGAAAACTAAAGTTTCCTCTTAAAATTCGCTATATAATTTTTTTTTTTTTTTCGTTTTATTGAACTTGGAACATTAGGGTTAGATGACAAATTTCTTGAATTCTTGTCGTTTGACACTAATAATTCAACGTCCAATGAAATGACGAAACAAAATCATACAATAAGTTTCAAGGCATCGTTGCAAAGAGGAGATTTCAGTCTTCAAAACGATGGTAGATCTAGTCGCGAAAAAATTTTTCAACACGTTTCTATACACGTTCGAATTTCTACAATTTTCGAGAGAAAGGTATCCTCGCTACCATACCCGCTACATGACCCGCACAATCATCTTAAAAAGAAAAAGAAACACTTTCACGACTGTCAAACTAGAGACTCGACGCTTCGAAATGAGACAAAACGCGTCGTTGTCAATCAACAGTTCTTTCATTGTCATTGGTGCAGTTATGCTCTTCACTGCAAATCATTGAAAGTTAGTCGTCGTCCTACAGTTAGCCTTATATTCGTTAACAATAGAGCTAAACTCCTAACTGAGACTAGATAGGACTCGAGGCGATGTAAGAAACGTGCCTTGAGAACGTCCGCTCGGCGTGTACGTGTTGCTGTGCCTCATCCAGGACGTGGTGTACGGGCTGTTGGGAGTATAATATCCTTGGAGATCAGGAGCCGCGTAATTGCTGCACGTATCGCTGAGACTTCCGTCCGATGGTTTGAGCACCCGCGGCGAGAAGGACGTGGTCGTTGGTCCCGTGCCGGATCCTCTGTCGCGATGGTGAGCAGACGCGAACAGCGCGGTGAATTCCGGGCTACCAGGCTTTGGTAAACTTTGCGAGCCGAGCATAAGACGATCTCGTACCGATTGAGAAAGTTGGCTGGCACTGGGACCCGTGAGGCTGTAGCTCTTGTAATGATGTCCCTGATTCGACGTGGAGGAGTTGGCTTGAAGCTCGGTGGTACACGTCTGCGTTCCACCGGACACTTTGACCTGTAACGTCATCGTACAGGCAAAAGACACGTTTTCAATCTGACAGCTTTTACCTAAAATTCATCATCGCGTCGAATTATGAGAACTCGCGGAGGACTGACCTTTGTTCTTGGAACCGCGCTGACTTGAGCAGTCCTCGCGGAATCTTTGCCACCATTTTGAACTCCATTCGGGCTGGGGCTGGTGCCGGCGCTGTGTCTCTTAACGTATCCGAAACTCTGTGGCACACCTCTGACTTTGCTGCTGCCGCTCGTCGACGTTCCCGATGAAACTTTCTGCGGTTTTTCGCCGTTCGCATACTCAGCCATGGCCTGTTTCCGATGTTTGTCCTGAAAGGGAGAAATCGAGGTAAAATCCTGCCGTCGAAAATTTTCGTGAAATAAGTGCATAACTATACCAAATAATATACACTGATAGAATTTTCGTAAAAAAAAAGATGTACGGTCTCGTTTTAAAACGTGAGTTCACCTTTACTTCAATAGCGGTGAGTTTGTTTTTTTTAAAGATGATTTTTCATCAAGTCTCAAAAATTGTAGAAATTCAAACTTGTATAAAAACATTGAAAAATAGTTTTCAGTAACTAGATCTACCGTCATTTTGAAGATTGAAATCTCTCATCTGCAACGATTCCTCTAAAATTGTACGACCTTTTTTCACCATTTTATTGGAATGTGAAACGTCAACCCTAATGTTCAAAATTTGATAAAATAATGAAAAGAATCGTAAGGCAGATTTTAATAAAAAAAAAAACTGTTTAACGTTTTTATACTTTAAAAATTTTTACAATGAGGAGAAAGTATCCGCTGGATGTAAAAACATCTTTGGCAAAAAAAAAAAAAAACGAACTCAAAGGAGTTTGTCAAGGTAGAGGCTTTACACTAAATATGTAGATCGTTATATGATTTTTCTGTTTACAGTTATTTCTTTACAAAGTTATCTCTTCGTTTCGTAGCTGGCACGATGAAGATCGGATTCAAAGGGGCTCGCCGAACCGGTCATCTTGAAAATCAACATGGGTCCAGCGATGAAACGTAGAGAAACCGTGGAACCGAGAGCAGAAACTGTATGAAATGTTTACCTGAGATCGCCTGGAGGGATTAGGACTCGGAGGTGCGCCCTCCTTGTCTCTCTCCCGATCCCTCGCAGCCCCAGCCTCGATATATTTCTTCCATTGTTGGCTGTTTGAGCTGCTGTTCGCCGAGCTGCTGTTCAAGCCTGGCTGCTGCTGCTGCTGCTGCTGCTGCTGATGTTTGAACGCCGAGTTCTCCGTTTGTTGAGAGCTGTCCGACTTCTTCACGTGCGGGTGATGACCGCCGCCAGGATGTCTCGAGCTCACCACACGGTATACCAGGTTACTGCCCTGCTGCGCGCTTTGGGGGGTGGCCGAATTACTGCCACCCCCCACGATCACGCCTCCACCACCCGGCACCCTCTGTTTACAGAAAACAAGCAATTTCTTCTGATTAAGAATTCGGGCAAATTTACATACATCGTCGCGTCAGTCACCACTGCCAAATTAAAGCAAGTTGATATGTGTGTTTCAGAGTCAATTACACGTTCGCGAGATACGTGTATATAATTTTTGTCGCAATATTCACGTCCTTAGACACTTGCTAATGGGATATCGACGTCGTTGCAATTGAACTGGCGCGACCTGGGTCAAGGACTTCCGGTGAGTTGATTTCACTGCTATCGATTCATGGGAGCACGCGGTTCGCGAGAGACGGAACCCTCAGTAGCATGATTCAGAACAGGGCGCCGGAACGACGGCTACACGAAGGGGTACGAGACCTCTTCACTCTGCTAACCGACCTCCACTGTTTGAACTGCGAGTCAAATATTTCATTCCTTCCTCTTTTTTTTCTTTCGCTTCGTCTGATTTCCAACTGGCGTGTTTCGAAATAAGAGAGCAATGTTTAACATTTTACGTGCGCTGCAAGCAGGAAGGAATCAAAGGTTCAGTATGATTTTCATCTTCTTCGTTAAAAATGTTTTAAAATGAGAGACAAATATTTAATACGTCATACGGTGAATAAAAGGGAAGGATTTGCCTCATCATTGGTCAAAATCTCTCCAATTAGTGTTTTAAAAACGAGAGAAAGTATTTGACATTTCATACGGTTAATACGGGGGAAGAAATCAAGGATTTAATATGATTTTCGTCTTCTTCGTTAAGGTGTTTCCAATTAGTGTCTCAAAATAAGAAAAAATGTTTAACATTTCGCACGGTAAATAAAAAGGAAAGAAATCAAGAATCTAACACATATTTTCATCTTCTTCGTTAAGGATGTTTCAGAATAAGAAAAAAATATTTAATATTTCGTGCGATAAACTGGAAAGAGAAAGTGGTCAAGGATTTAATCTAATTTTTCATCTTCTCTACCGAGACCGTCTCTAATTAGTGTTTTAAAATAAGAAAAAATATTTAACTATTTGAATAAGAAGAAAGAAATCAAAAATTTCCATCTTCTCTCAACGATATCTTTTTATAGCCTCTTTTCCACCTACGTTTACTATGGGACCGTAGAAAATTTACGATTCATAAAAATACAAAAGCCGCGAATAACTTGTCCACGCTCCGGATAAATCGACGCGATCAATCGAATCGCTTTAAACGATCTGACAAATGGATGTAACGAACGTTTATTGATCTTTTCGCTGGTCCATTTCTCATTCTCTCTCTCTCTCTCTCTCTCTCTCTCTCTCTTGATTCACCATATAGAGTTATATCGCCTAGCAAATGACTCATGAGGGTGGAAACGCCACCTCAGGTTTTTACTATCCAGATCGTAAACGTAGGCTATAAGCCAGACAAAAGATCCCCGCGGGTCAAATCCCGTGGCTTTTTCCTCGTCTCTTAAAGTCGCGTTCATAACGATCGAAGCGGTAATTTCGAACGACGGTTATATCACCGTGAAAAGAAGACCAAGAGAGGGCGAGAGGGGGGGGGGGATAAATATTCCGGCGACTTCTTCGACTTTGAGCGACACTACTGCCACGATAACTCAAACAAACTGGGCCTCCTTCCGAGTACGAGACCACGGTGCCGACCGCGCTTCTCATCCTCCGGTTTCCAGCTATGGTTTATTTTCAGAAATGCCTTCGTGAAAACATTCCGTTTTCCGACGGGGGCGAATGTTATCGTTCAGGCATCGTTAGGGTGCCGTCAAAAGGTGCTTCAAATACACGAAAGAATAAAAAAAAAAAAAAAGAAAAAAACGTTCAAATTTGATGATGACGAGCCCAGAAACTTAACTAGAATTACGAAAATACTTTTCTCGCGTACAGTAACAAAGCGCAAGTCGAAGAAACTCACCATTTTTCCCTTCTGGTGTTCGACACACACGTGTCACTATCGTGCCAGCAATTTTCTTTACTAATTTCAGACGAACGTTCACACACGGTTGTTAATCGTTTCGAAGAATTATACTTGGGCAGAGTAGTCACAGGTCGTTGCACTCTTTGAAAAGTGCCTCGTTAAATAATCATTCGGATAATTTCGGATGCGCCTAACAAGCACGCCAGCCGTAAAGTTGATTCGATCACCGGGACGAAAAGTGTTCTTGACAGTCGGTGTGCAGTCACGGGCTACACGTGTCTACGAGTTTCGGTACCCGGTCGATAACCGGTGAAATACCTGTGTGAACAGCGAATGCGTCATTGCACAGGATAATTAAGGGATAGCCCTCGAGCCGAACCACCCTTGTTACCCTCGACGACTAGTGCAATCTAAATGGGGTGCCTATTTGTTTCAGACACTCCTCGTTCAACGCGAGTTTCCAATACCTCTCGATATTCATTCGATCGAAGCACTTGTCGTTGCGAGTTTCACGTCGATTCGTGGAACAAATATTTTGCGTTTGTTTCTACGAATATAGTACGCACGCTCGGCGAAAAACTGTCCACGTTTTAGACTGATATAACTTTTGTAAAAAAAAAAAAAACAGTCGTATAACAATTCAACTTGTCTTTACGCTTCGAAGTATAAAACCTTTACTTTGACAGTCGTTAGTTTTTCAATCATGTAGCAAATGGAGAGAATACTTTTGTTTTGGAAAATACAAATATTTCCGAAAATGTGAAAAAATTTTTGTCTATTTGACTAAATCTATTGTGGTCTTGAAGACTAAAGTCTCCTCTTAAAATTTGCTGTACGATCGTTTTTCGTCAGTTTATTAAACTTCGAACACTAGGATTAGGATTTCTTCAATTTTTGTCGTTTAATTTTGAGGAATTAAGAGTTCAATAAGAGTTAACATGATTAATATGATTCTGATAGACTTAGTCACGAATAAAATTTTTTCAACAATTTCGCAGGCATTTGAATATTTATAATTTTCGACAACAAAAGTATCTCTGCTGCATGATGTAAGGAGGAAAAGAACTCAAGGTTGGTAAGGTAGAGATTTTACTTTGCTATAAAATAAGACCGACTAAATTTCTATGCAAATTTTGTTCTAAAATTTTCGAAGTTATGGTAGATCTAGAGTCACAATCATTCAAAAAAAAAACTTTTCAGTGACTTTAAAAGCGTTTGCACTTTTACAATTTTTGAGAACAATGTAGAAACATCTTTGAAAAAAAAATCTCAAAATTGGTGTAAAATGAAACCGATTATTCCACGGTAATTACTCGTCGAGTATACGCAGGTACATTTGTCGTGCAAGAAGACCAAACATTGCGAATAAAATTTCCTCCTCGAACGAAATAATAAAAAGTACAAAAGCAACACTGGGAAGCCAGTTGTTGAAGAAGTAAAGAAAACGTTGTTGCTACCACTCTTTAAACAACGCGGCACGAGCAGAGGTGGCTGAAGAAATCGTCTCTTCTGGAAACGCGAAATTTCTCGAGGAGGTTCTTCGTTAACCGCAAACCGCGCGCGAACAGCACCGTGAAAACTTCTTTCCCCTCCCTTCCCGAGGAGAGTCACTTCGCGAACAAAAAATAGTAAAACGCGAGGTCAGTCCACGGCACGAAGCACCACCACCACCACTAAATATTCATTACGAAGGCGGAATATCTTGGGAAATTAGAAGGGAGCCCCTTCGTCCTTCGACGAATTAGCTGATTTCATCGAGGGTTCGTTTCGAGCGTTCGTGCACGTTCGTTTTCAGAGGGAATGGGATTTCTTTTCACTGTCGATGAAAACGCGGCACGATGTGCAGGCACCGGTGCGTCAGAATGCAGTTTTCACCGTGAAAAACGACGTGCTCTCAACGGGAGCACCGGCGGCGGCGTCGTTGACATTTTGCATCGCGTTCGATGAACGTCACGTTTTCACGAGTCGGACGAACGTTAACTGCCAACAGGCGAGGGTCGACGATCCATTGCTCGCCCGGCCCTCCTCCCCACTTTGTGCCGCGATACCACTTACAAACGGCCCGGCTACCGAATGCTACACACGCCGGTTGTACAGGGCTGCCGCGCAAAAATATTATCGACCGGGCGAACGGCAGCGAGTCACCGATCTACGCGGTGAATTTACGCGTAGTTTCCTGTAGGCGGGAGACCGGATTCGAGATCAAAGTTAGGTTAGTTTGTTTCTTTGTTTGTTTGTTTGTTTGTTTGCTTAACGAGAAAAGCCCGCTAGGGGAAGAAAGGTACGTAAAAAAAAGAGAGAAAAAAAGAAAGACAAATGGTAATGGCAATACAAAGACAATGAAAATGTAAATGTCGAAGGAAAGAATATCGTGTTGTATTTGCAAAAGAAGATTTTCTGTTTAATCAAGTGAGATTGAGAGTCACTAAAAAAGATCAATGTCAACTTTTTTTCTCTGTGGATTATTCGAAACGTTGAAAACCTCGAAACTCGAGAAAGTCATTTTCTTTCAATTTATTTTACACACGGTTCTTCGTTGTTGCAAAATAGTACCACTGGCACATTTAACAACTATAGAAATCAGTCTTTATGAATTGTAAATGACGAAAAAGAATTTCGTCACTTGGCAGTGCGTGCCGACTGATACGTTCCACATGATTTGCATCGTATGCGTAGAAAGTAGAATACAAGGATCATTGTTTTGTAAACGATAAGGTGCCACGCGAGCCACACCCTTTCACCATCGCCTTTCACCCTTCTTGCCTTATCCGGGAGTGAGGTGGCAGGGTTCAAAAGGCGGAAAAGGAACGTTACTTGAAAACTGATTGCATTTCAGGTCGGTCAGGGATTCTCCGCGAGAACCAGGAAAAGTCGGGGATTATCCTTCGCGGATTATCGGCTGCTGGAGGAATCAACTTTTCAAGGAGAACTCCGTATCATATCGGAGAGCCCTCTAACTCGATCTCACGAATCATCCGAAATGAGAGATTATTATACAAAAATAAGGGTAAGAAATAAAATCTTTCAATCTTTTTCCTTCTGTTTTGTAATAATTCGACCGAGATGAAAGACAGGATATTTTTAATAATGGAAACGAAAATAAATAAATAATC